ACAAAATATGCACGGTTGTATTATCCGCATATAAAGGAGGAGGAGCTGATACATTCAAGTCAAAGTTCCCCAAAGTGTTTTATTTAAGTTCCAGATGCAACCAATGTGCTAGCACACATGCTTATGTTTAAGCATAAGAGTACAGAAAGTCAGCCAAGTACAAAATAAAGTTGATCACAGTTATTTTTGAGATGGTACTTTGTTTATAATACATTCCACTGTTATATTTAAAGATTCTAAAGAAATGTTATCTTATCTTCTAATGTAATTACCAGAGAGGACACAGAGCACAGGATTTTAAACACAGACAGATGAAACCAGGGATCCAGTTCCTAGAAGGCAGCAAACTAGTATGTTGAGACTGTTTTGAATGTGCCACCCATACTGGAGCAGTCTGTTACCTGATGCAGGTTTGCTACAGCAAACCAGCTGACAAAGTTTCTGCAATAGTGAGAGCTTTTATAGTATAGTGAAATACTTCATATCAAATTCTGTGTGGCATAAGAAATAACATACTTTTTTTAAAATTAATTTTGTTTTCCTTCCTGGACAGCATTATGGGCCAAATGCTCAATCCTCTTATGTCAAAGACAAAGCTGAATTTAAATGAGACCAGAATGCATGAGTATGCACTAAATCAGGCATATTTTTAAATGCATGCCACTTGAGATTGTGGAAGAAAAAATAAGCTCATAAATAGTTGGGATTTGTTTGAAGTCAGAGCACTTTTCTCTCTGTAAGTCTATTTATAGTTTTAGGATAAGAAATTCTTATGCTTAGAAGTAGGAACTGATGAGTGAGACTTTCTCATACTCAGAAGAAAAACATGAGTTGACTGCAATTTTCTGTTTCTTCAGTCTAAAGAAAATTCATGAGTCTTGTAGCAGGGATATAAAATTAATCCTTCTTACATAGAAGGACCTTAATCACACACTTGCAGTTCTGCACTTGAACTATGGTATCTGTACTATCCAAAGGAGTCAATTCTCACTGAATGCTTTTATTCTGGTTTTGCCTTCTTGTTAAAATAAATATTTGATTTTGCCAGTGAGCAAGATTAGTTTTTAATGATATTATTATTATTATTATTATTATTATTATTATTAGTTATTCCATTGCTATATTAGAACCAGGAACATAAATGGATTTGTTTTGAATCCTGAAGCGTTCCCATTTTTTGCTGCTGGAGTCCAGTTCCATACAATATTAGCAATCTGCTTCTATGCCAAAGCCAAGTAGTGACAGTTGCAATAATGAATATTTGCTGCAGGCCACTGGTATGAAAATAGCACAGTGCTGCAAGCCTGCGTCACCAGAAACAAATATTCCATTTGACTGTGACTGAATTTCCAGCTCAATTTTAGATCATTTATTATTGAAATAGTTCTTAAAGCACTGTCATAATATAATGCTAAGAAATGCTGATTCAGTCTTCAAGGCATCTGTTCAAATGTCTTCCTACTGCCTTTTTTTTTTTTTTTCCCTTAATCCCTTATACCTTTAATGCTGTATGTTGTATTTAGGACACCTAACTGTGTACAGGCAGCAACACTGTAATACATTCAAAGATGCACATGCTGGTTATGTTAGAAGTTCTGGTAAGAAAAGGTTTTAATTCCTTCTTTGCAAGCCTTCATGAAAGCTTTTAGAATGTTTCCCCCCTAATTCCTGCAGATAATTGTAAAGATTATATGAAGAAGAGCAGCTTTGCATCTTTAAATGTGTCATGGCTTTCACATGGTGAACTTGGATGATTTTCTTATATGTGTTTTGATATCATTAATGTGTTTGCATTAATGAAATATATGATGTATTAAATAGGTGATGTTTTGGAAGGTGTATGAGCAGGATATATGCTCTGAATATTGGTATTTTGGAATGATATTTACCATTTTTAGTTTAATTTTTGTATACAATGCTGCTTCCACACATACATATCAAAATACCTTCAAAAGGACTATGATAATTGATTATATTTTCTTTTCACTTTAAGATAACTAGATGGTTAAATAAAAGGTCAAAATACTTATTGAGGTTCACATATTTTAAGCAGAATAAAATCTGCAGTTATTTAAGCTTTTTAATGTATACATATTTTTATTTTATATTTTGTCCATTGCCTTAGGTTTTCCTATGTAATATAAAGAAATAATTGTCCATACTTTGCATAAAGCATACTGACCCTTGCACCACAAAGCTGATAATGGTGATTGATGTACATATCTAATTTCCTGCAAAATTAAGATGAGCACCAACTTTGACACCAATTCTTAGTTAATATTAATGCCTTCTTTCTCTCTTCCTTTTCTCTCCCTCCTGCTGTCTGTCCTCTGCCTTCCTTTTCACCAGGACAGTACATTAGATGTTAGTAGCTACTGTGTCCCAGGAGAAACTGAAGTTTTAAAAGCAGTGTTACGTACTACTGGGTGTGGGCTTTTGGTATACTTGCAGCACCTTTCAGCTCAAGAAAAGCCAATGCCAACACAGATTTTCTGGAATGGTGAAGAAGTGACTAGTTAAATGAGTAATTTTGTGGACAGACCTACTCATCATTTTTCCAACAAAAGACATAATTTTTCAAAATATTGTTTTTCTTTTGCAACATTGTTGTTAATCAGTTAAAAAAAAAAAAATAAGAGCAGAATGTTCAGCAAGAAAACACCATTTCTTCTACAACAGTATTTTATATCCTCAGTATATTCAGAATATTATCACTTCCAGACTCCAACTCAGGAAAAAAAAGTACTTTTATTAAACTTTGAGTTGGACCTTTTACTATATGTTTTAATGCCAGCAGTATGTAGACTATTCATATCACAAACTCATCTTTTTTAGTTTTATAAATAATAATTCATCAAACCCTTTGACAGAATATATAGAAACATTACAAAATATAGAAATTGACAAGGCTAGAAAGTTCCTCAGAGGTAAGCTGCTAGCTGAAAGGGGGTCAGACCTGGGTTGCTCCTACAGTTATTTCTTCAACCAGTACTAAGTCCTTCAATAGGCAATATTTCAGGATCTCTATAGGTAGGTTATTCTAAGGCTTTAGAGCTTTAATATTAGAAAGAATTTCCTGATGTCTAATCTAAGTCTCTCTTGCTGTAATCCAATAGTCCTTGTCCTATTAACAGGGATCAGGGAGAACAGTATATTCTCCTATTTTTAGCTACCTTCTGCAGATCTGAAAAATATTGTCACTGTTTACCCTTCATTTTTCAGATTCATAGGTCATGTTTTCTAAACTTCTAATTTGTTTTGGCTTCCTCCTTCACAACCTCTCTCCTGTTAGTTTGCATTTGTATTGCTGCTGAATTAACAACAAAGCATATCATTGTTTATGTGGTGTTTACTGTCCCCAGACGGGATACAGGGCCGCCAGTGCTGATTAGAGGAGAAAAAAATACTTCATACATCTTTCACTTCACACTTTCAATATGGCAGGAACCTTTTTCATAACATCGTGGTATAAGTGATCTGTGTTCATCTTGTTATCCACTACTGAAAGTTTTTACTGAGAGAGAAAAAAGGAAAAAAAAAAAAAAAAACAACCACACTAGTACTGGGGCTAATGTTCTTCATCCTGTTTTAAAAGGTTACACATCCTGTTTTAATAGGTTACATTAATCCTACCAAGTGTGGATTCCTGCAATTGTCTTTACTGGAAAGCATCTCATTTTCTAGACTGTTTCTCCAATGCATTAAAATTGATTTGAATCACATCTCCTAGTGTGTTTGCCCTTCCTCCAAGTTTGTTACTGTCTGCTAAATTAATATGTGTGTTCTTCATTAATGAAATTGTTGAACAGTATTAACATACTTCTGTGTTAAAGTGTCCCTCCTGCATCACAATACATACTGAGATCTATAATCCAAAGAATAGTTGTTTTGCCTATTCTAATAGCTATTTTGCCTAATACTGCCATGCCTTTTCTTTTCTCTCCTTTTATGACATGGAAATGCATGAGGATCAGTAGAGGGGACTGAATGGGGATATTCCCTTTTTCAGAGGGAGAGGTCTGAGTCGAGGGCACTCAGGCTCCAAAATGGGATGGCAAGATGTCTGTGAGAACTCTGTAGGAGTTCTCAGGAGGCTGTCAGCTCCTTAGTGCATTCAAGACTTGGATCCTTGGCAGGGATGTAGGCCCTCAGTACTTATTTGTTGGAAATCAGACTCATCTGGAAGCTGGGTTAACTAACAATATTGAACATGGATATTTAGGACTTATACAAAATGTAATTTATATGTTATTCAAACAATAATATCACTGTGTGTTTTCTCTTTTCTGAATTTGAAAACTACAGAAAAAGCACGTGTTCTTAGATGTAAGCATTAGATTTCCAAAAAGATTCAAATGTGTAACATGCTGACAATTTTTCCAAGAATACTACTGACAAAATGAAAGTCTTTTTAGTGCTTGTGTAGGTATCAGAATGTTGTAGTTTTAATTGCTGTTATTAGTATACATTACTAGTATGTAATATTGGATAGTAATAATACATAGATAAATGGTGATAGAAAAATTATTTTTTTATTTTATCAGATAACACTAATACAATTATTTTGATTCTATTTTTTTTAGTACAGAATGTTAAAACTTTAGCTCAGCTACTCAATCAGTGTAAGTATTATGTGGCACTGTGACAGTTTATGTATCTAAAGTGCTGCATATAAATTTTAACTACCTATTGTTCTGGTAATTTATGCAACCATTTTAATGGATTATCCTTCAGTCGTACAGTACAGTCTTAATGACCTGTCTTTTCAGTTTGTGAATTTTGTATTTACTGGGTGTTAGCAGAATGGAAGAGACAGTACATGGCATTTTGATACATGGGAGTAACCATACAAAATGCAAAGAATAAGGTCAGATTTAGTTCGTTAGTCAAAGCATTAACAGCATGGTCTGGCTCTCTGTACAGTTACAGTGTTAGCAAGCAAGCACTGAAGGTCACAACCTTCTATTTTGTTTCCTTCCATCTCATCCCTTTGTCCACAGACGTTACCACAGGGACACCAGCAATATCAACGACGACAACCGTGGAAATCCGGAAGAGCAGTGTTATGACAACTGAGATCACCTCTAAAGTGGAGAAAATCCCCACAACAGCCACTAGCAGCACCACATGTCCTTCCGTTGAGACTGAGGAAGAAAAAGCAAAAAGACTGCTGTACTGTTCACTATGCAAAGTCGCTGTCAACTCTGCCTCGCAGCTGGAGGCGCACAACAGTGGTGAGATGGAGCAATACTTGCTTTCTTCCTTTTTTTTTTTTTCCTTCTGTCTCAAGAGCTCTGCAATTATCTTCTCCTGAATAGATTAGATCTCTTGCAGCAGGGGACAAAGAGGTGGCAGAAAGCTGGCAATTACATGGAATTCATTAACTATTAAAGAATAAAAATGACAGGCAAAGAGGCTTTCAAAAAGGGGGAAGAAAGGAAATTTATTGCACGCAAGTTACCCATTTTCTTACATTTTAGCTTTTGCAGCTTCCAGACCTTATAGAGCTAAATGACAGCTCATGCTTCATTACCTTTGGTGTTCAGAGTTTGCATACTTTTGTTTGTGCCAGCTAGCAAACTGAGAATGAATATCATTAGTTTTGTTTGAAATCTAACAAATTAAGGCTGAAAGAGTGAGTGTCAGTCAGAGTTCAATGATGAGTTAAAATTTTTAGGCCCATATTGTCTGTTAATAACTTGGTAAAATTTATGGTTTTCCATTGTTTTCATCAAATGATAGTGACTGGTGCATGAGAGGTGAATGGGTAATTGCTTACCACTGTCTTTCTTAATTTTAAACCTTTTTTTTTGTTATTAGAGCTAGTAACATCAGTAAGTTCAGGAAGTAGACAACCATTATCCACAGTCACTATTTTAAATGTCTTATTGATTGGCTTTGCGGTAAGCAGCGTTAAAATATCTTGGAATTTAATATGGAGGCAGTGACCACCTATAGTAGTCCTGCAGAAAAACTCCTGATTTTGGATGTCAGTGGTTACCTGACAGCAGGGTAACCAGAGTTAAGAGGTTGAAAGAGACCCTCAGGACTGAAAGATAGAGACAATGCTAGTATACCTGAAGTAAAATGATAAATGGCTTAAAAAAAAAAAAAAAAAAAAAAAAAAAAAAGTTTGACAAGCCTATAGAATCTGTTTAAATTAAAAAGGAAATAAAAATTTATTGGTATTCATGAGAAACAAAGCTTAGTTTCGACTACTGTGTTTACTGTATGCCAGATCTTCAACGGGTGACAATTCAAGTTCATAAAGCTGTATATATTTAACCTATTTAATTACCTATGAAGCTTAGACTCTAAACATTTTTATGATCTAGATATGAGCCAAAACATTACTGTGAATATTTAGATACAAACCTCCAAGTTTCTGCTTTCTATGCTGATAAACTGTGTGTGTAGCTGTACACATGCATGCTTAGAAAAGTGTATAACGGGATGCATATAGTAATTATCACTGGAATACTAAATCTGTACATGGCAGTAGTCCATTATATTCACAGACTACTTGCCTGGAAGGCAACAGTGTAAGAAACTGGTCTGAATAAAGGTACAGCAATAGACACAATTGCTTTCTATCCAACCTTTATTTTAATTACCAATGCAAGTATGTTTTTCTGACACGCATGTTTCTCACATGTTTTGGTTTCTGTCCAGGTTGCTGCTAGCAACATCTGCCCCTTTGTGGTTTGAGAACTAATTAGTTAATTACAGATTTAAGTGTAAGCTACCTAATGAATACTGTTTATCAATCCATTCAGAAGGGCTACAAATCAAAGGCAACTACACCTTTAATAGCTAAATTACTCTTCCTTTGCAACTACAATTCAGGTCTTATTAGCAGCAGGAGTTAATGAGAAAAGTCACACTCATTTAACTTCACATCAGGATACCTGATTGTGCCACTACTTATTGGTGTGGCTGCTTTGTTCTAGTGTTCTACGTACAGAACTGTAATTTAATAATTAAATATCAGATGTGAAATACCATTAATTAGTATTAATATGATACAGACAAACACAGACATATTCCAAGGATAGCACATAGCACCAAGCTGAGGTGCTATCATATGATTTTCTTTTAGAAAGAAAATAAAACAGTGAATGCAACCAAATTATGAAAGTTCTTTCTGTTTCCCATTTCTAATGTCTCCAGGGACTAAGCACAAAACTATGCTGGAAGCTCGGAATGGAAGTGGAACCATAAAAGCCTTTCCCCGGGCAGGCGTAAAAGGCAAAGGACCTGTGAATAAAGGAAACACAGGCCTTCAGAACAAAACATTTCACTGTGAAATATGTGATGTGCACGTAAACTCTGAGACACAACTGAAACAGGTACTCAGCTAGCTTGCAGAGTGTGATCCTTGGTTATTCGTTGTTTTTATGGTGATAAAGTACCAACACAATCAGTATGTGTCAATCTAATAGTTCACATCAAAATGGAGCTTATAGATTTTGTCCATTGTATTTGTCTTTTATGCAATATGTTTAGTTATTGTTATGATTTTCTCCTGTACATAATGTTTTCTCAAAAGCTTGTTTATATATATATTAATATATACATATTAATATATATATATATATGTTTTTCTTTAAAGCGTTATAGAAGCTATAAGCTGCAATGTTTTACAACTGTCTTTAGACTACGACAGTTGTCATGAGCTAATAAATCCTGACATTTAGTGTACTGCATGATATTTGCCTTGACAAAGATGTGGAGGTGGTTGTAGCCAGTATTTTCACAGAACATTGAACAACCTGCTTAAAAATATGGGATGGAGAGGATTTGATTATTTCTTTTTATCGGTGTTACTCTGTAACTGAGAAGCATGACCTCTACATTGCAATTGCACTAAGTTATGTTCGGTCATTCATCAGATGAACAAAGCCTTTGCACTGAAAAACACTTAGTTTAATACCATATGCCTTTTGGAATTAAATGCTTGTTAAGGAACTTTACAAGAATGAAGATAAATTCTGTAATGGACAATAGAAATACTTGTCTTCTGCTTTCAGGAAAAAGTCCAATTCTTTTTCTCTTTTGTAAGAACTCTCTCAAGAATGAAAATCAAAGTAAAAATACAGTTCTAAAAAAGGTCCCTTACATCTAATACTGCAATAAAGTCTGTGTAGAAGGATTCGTGTAAAATCTAATAGATTTTATAAAGAAGATAATGGGCTTTGTGATTTTACTTCACTGTCATTTAGTTTGATATGTAGCCATCTTTCAGCTGAAATCTTAAAAGGATCTGTAGGCTTCTTAGGGATTTAAACCCTTTTGTGACCTTTTTTTTTTTTTTTTTTTTTTCTTTTTTTGAATAGTGAGTGCTGTACTATCTAATATTCTTCCAAAACTTTCTATCAGCAGTGGATTGCATTTGATGGGTGCTTTATAAAGACAGGGAGGGGAAATTTTCAAAGGATTCTAGCTTTGTCCTAATTCAGGTCTTGTTGAAGTTAACAAAGGTGAGAAATTCATTGACTACAGTGGAAGCAAAGTTGAACTGAGCAGTGCTGAAAATCACAGTCCCAGTGTGTGGTGCACAAAGGAATCACTCAAACTGGAATAGGCCCTATTCTCATTCATTATTGAATTAGTCAAATAATGCTGTTGTGGAGAGCAGCAGCCTTCAGTATTAGAGCACACGTGGAAAGCAGAACTTGAAATTAAGGAAATATCATTTTTTCTTTTCTTTTTTTTTTTTTTTCTTTTGTTCCAATGTATTTTAACAGCACATAAGCAGTAGAAGGCACAAAGACAGAGCTGCTGGGAAGCCGCCTAAACCTAAATACAGCCCATACAACAAACTCCAGAAGGGAACGCATCCTCTAGGGGTAAGCCAATCACCATTTGATTCACAGAATAATGCTGAGTAGGGTATTTAGAAAACGAGAATGGAAGAATATTTAAAATAAGAGGATAGTGTAAGCAATGGGAGTATGCGAGTGCCTAAATAAAGTCATGGAAGCCCATAGGAGACTTTTTATATCCTTTGAAGGGTGTGGACCCATGAGTCCTTGTTTTCGTGGCTCCTCTAAATAACCTTAGGAAAGAAGCTAGTTTCAAAGGTCATTAGAGAGCAAGAGAGGAGAGAAACATGCAAACATTAAACAGGATTTTTCCAGTTTTCACTGAAGACAATAGTGGTGAAATAACTAAATAAAGCTCTATAAAACATAAAACCTTTATTCATTCCTCATTTAGAAAATTATTCAAATAACAATTGAAACAATAACAATAAAAAAATCCATCTCTCATTTCATTCTGCTCAGTTTCAGGATGACTCTGGTCACATTTTCAACTGACAGGACAAACTTTGTGGAGTTCTTGCTAGTTTCAAAAGATGAAAAACATGTTTACTCTTTAATACAAAAATAAAAAAAAAAAAAAACAACACCAGGATCTTGCCATTAGTCAAGAAACAGTTTATATTGTGGGTGGGATAGTGAAGCATCTGACAATTATCTACATCAGATAAACTGTGTGATTGTTTTATGTGACAGGGCGTTTTGTAATGGTTTATAGATGGTTTTGGCAGGCTGAGGGTGTTGATTCATTGGCTTCATACAGATTAGGCCCTTATTCATTGTCCATTTTCTCTAATGCAGACAGAATTTAGAGCTTTCTTCTGTGAGATCCCAGTTCTCTGCTAGTTGAACTTAAACTCTTTTCTTGACCAATATAGAATTTGTCCTCATTGGGGCAGCCCTTTTTTTTTGTAGTACATTCATGTGTTATTCAGTTGTGTAGGAACTTTCCTAGATATTGCAACATAATGCACTGCACTATTCTGGTAGATCCACTAGTACGGAAATAGCCCCATAGGGTTGTTCAGCAATCCACCTGGGAGACCAAGGTCTCCACTACATATAAGATACACTGAAAAGAATAGAAAATGTACAATTAGGAAAGTAGTATATAGCTTCTCTGTCAAGATTATTATTCCTTGAGGAAATGCATTGTTTCCTAGGGGGTAAAAATAACTATTATGTTACTGTTGTTGTACACAGTTGTCTATTTAACAATTTATGTAGTGGTGATTTCTAAGAACTCCAGCCAAGAATCAAGGCCCTTCAATTAGTGCATAGACAGATAAAGTCAATAAGTCCTTTTCTTTCTGCCTCACTCCCAGGTGCTCACCATACACAAGTCAGAACAGAGGTGAGTCAGAGGGAATTTAAAGCAGAGAGAATGACTTAGCAATAAACCAACAGATAGCTATAGTAGAACAGAGGCTGCATTTAGTCTTTTTGTTTGTTTCTTTTGAATAGAAAAAAAAAAAATGCTGTCACTTGAAATGCAGAATGGCATAGCAACAAGCCAAGGATGTGCTAATGTTTATGATGAGCTCTAGACTTTAACTTTCTTTACTCCCTAATAATTTTTCAAGTCATTCACAGTCCCTTAGTTTATTTCACTGTAAATGAAATGCATAATGCCTACTGAACTCTTAATGTTGACCTGTGTGTTAATTAGCACTTGCAGAGAGATTTGAAAATGAATGTGCATCGTACTCTATATAAAAAAATGTTACTGTTATTGCAGCTATCTTGAAATCACAATGATGTTGATAAATTAGCTGGAAGTCTAACTTCATTAGAAGTTCCTGATTCCTCTAAGAATGACCTAGCCTTTTAATATTGTTACCTAAGATCTTTGGTCTTCATGATAACAAATACATGAGCATCATCTTTCCTCCCCTCCCCCCCCCCCCCCCATGGAAGTTATGAAAAGGACATATTACATTCTCATATGTTTTCTAGACCAAAAGCTCTCCAATGCCATATTTTCAATATAATTTATACTGCTTCAGAGAAAGAAGCTTTATGAATTCCCAGAGTACTCTTTTACACTTGAAGAAATCTAGTTTTGAGACTTAGTTGAAAATGCTACACCAGAAAGAAAGAAGTTATTGGGCATTTCATAGCCCAAACTCTCTGCAATGAGATAGCTTTTATGAAAAACATGTTCTGTTGTTTTGGGTTGGTTTTATTTGTACTTTGTACTCATTCATTTATTTATTTAGTTTGAAAGTATTTTTCTTGACTGTTCTAAATAAGGCTGAAAAAATATTTACTAAATAAATAGTAAGGGAGGAAGAAAAAGTCAAATGTTCAGCAAGGGAAGAAGACAATTCAGATCAGTGGATCTAACACTAATCAGGGAGATGATAAGATCATCTTTATCTGATCATAGTGTCTATTGCCCATTTTATCCTCTATTAAGAGAATTACAGAATGTGGTCCCCTCTGAGTATCCCTTCCAGAGCTTTAAAGGACATTGAGACCACCACAGTTGGCAATGGATATTAGGAAAAGTCAAAATCCTGTATCCATCTGGCTAGTAAAGAGCATATTTATTTATTTATTTTTAAGGAATACAGTGATAACTTTACGAATGATGAAATTCACTTTTGTATCATGCCAGAGGATTTCTTTCTGACTATTCACTCACGACAGTACTATTGAGTGGAAAGGATCAGAGTGATATAAAGCATGTGAATTATTTGAAAATCCCTTTCAATTCAAGAATGAGAAATTGTGTTTCATTATGTGTCTTTCAGAAGTGTCTGTAGTTAGACCGAGATGTACCAGAGCATAGTACGTATATTAATATATTCATATTCTGTATATTCAATACCATATATTCAGGTATACATGCTATGCAAAGGACCTCAGGTCATTTCAGGACACAAACCCATCCAGAGTCAATCATAGCTGATGGGAAGTTTTCTTTGTTGGTGGATGAAGTCTCTACCCTTACCTCAGAGTTGTAAAAACAGAACAATTAAGGTATTCAGGCTCCTGGCTTCTCATTAAAACCTTAAAATCCCATCAAAACCTCCAGAAATCTATATAGACTAGACTACTCTGATGTTCACTTTATAATACTATAATATAATATAAATTAATAAAATAATTATTATTATAATTAATATAATTATATTAATAATATAATATAAATTTATATAATATAAAACTTTAAATAATAGTGAAGGTCTGTTGAGTATTTTCAATTAGTCTCAACAAAGCTTGAGCTTATTTATTTTCTTTTTGCAAACTCTAAATGTAGAGTTTTCTAAACTGTATTTCTTATTGTGCAAGACTTGTGATTTAAAACTATTTAAACCAAAAGCCCCACCAACAGTAACAAAAATATCATCTTTTGGCACCACGCTAAGTGATACATGAAAGAGTTTTTCATGACTATATATATATATATATATATGTATATATATAATATATATATATATTAATCTACGCTTTTTTCACAGTCGTTATAATAATGAACAGTATTATAGTGAAAAAGGTCTCCCAACATTTTCTTCAGAAGACAGTCTTCTGAAGACAAGGCAAGATGATGTATGACATAGGGAATACACCCATAGAATTAATCACCTATGTTGTCACATGAAACACATTTAGGAGATTTTCATAACTGGTGAAAGATAAACTTTGTTTATGTATTTGTTATCAGTAGCTGCAGTTAATAAAGAGGAGATAGCTGTGGATCTTGTTTTTAAGTAGAACTTGCATCCTAATGATGAAAACTAAAGTACATTCTTAGTCACACCAGTGAATAAGATGTTTTCATTCTGATCTGGTCTCTATCATAAAGCTGTCTAGATGGAGATCTCTTAATTAATTCTTTCTTATTTAATTCTTACAGTGTACATGTAGGTTTATGTAGGTGCAGATTGCCCAGCCCCCTTACGTTTGCTTTGATTTCTCATCTCATATTAAATTATAAGTCTTGGTGATAAGGAGGTGAGCCCACAACCAAGAGAACATTGAAACTTTGTTTTCTACCAAATCCTACTCACTCTTGTTTAATATGTGAGATCAAGTCTCCTGTCACAACCCTGCAGCTTGCAGAGTCCATAACCAGTACAAGGCCTCTCTTAGTTGATTTTCCACTTATAATCTTATGTCAAGCTTCCTGTCATGTAGCTAACATGAACAAATTATGTTTCTCTGTTTGTTTGTTTTCTCTTTTCCCCACAGGTAAAATTAGTATTTTCAAAGGAACCTTCAAAGCCGATAGCTCCACGAATCTTACCAAATCCGCTAGCAGCTGCAGCAGCAGCTGCTGCTGTGGCTGTGAATTCCCCCTTCAGTCTTCGAACAGCCCCAGCAGCTACCCTTTTCCAGACTTCAGCACTTCCTCCAGCACTCCTACGACCAGCTCCAGGGCCTATACGGACCACCCATACTCCCGTGCTGTTTGCTCCTTACTGAACTCCAAACAGGAATTAACTGCAATAATTTTTCAAATCAAAACAGACAAAAACGAAAATCAAGAACATTGAACTATGCAGTGTTTATTTATAGTTTAAAGTATATATGAAGAGCCAGGACTTTTGATAGAGAACTGAACAAATTCTAAAAGGGGGAATGGGCAGTATTTTCTCCAGATGAGAGCATTCCTCTTTTGAGCATTGATCGTTTTAGAAATGATCTCCAGCATTGACTTGTAGTGACATATAAAACTTATGAAGCCTTTTGACTGTGCTTTTTGGCACATATTTCCCTGCAATGTCTTTCCTGCTTTATGAAACAACTTACAAATTTGTCTAAAGGGCATTAACTGGTTCCAATGTACATAAAATACTTTATTCTGTAGATTAAAGAAGAAGGAAAAAAAAAAAAGAAACACTGTGAATAGTAGTACCCTTACCAATCCTCCTGCCAAATCAGCAGTTACTGGGTATTTATCTGAAAAAAGTAGATACAATAGATGTCTTGTAAAACAGTAGTATTGTGTCTCTATCTATGCCACTAGGTTTCTAACTGAGTTGCAAAAGATAAAATGAACAAATTATGTCACTTGGTAAGTAGTCAAAAATTATGACAATAATGTGGAGCTGTTCCTGGTGAGCAAAATTGTTTTCCTCACCCATGGAAGAATGGGCATGAAGGTTATCTATGGTTAAGATAAGGTAAAAGATAAAGAACATTTAGTGAAAAAAAAAAAAAAAAATCCAAATGCTGTACACAGAATAGGTCAAACTTTTATTTAACTAAAAGTGAATGTGTACAGTGTGCATAGATTCAAAATGTGTAAGACAGGATTGATCAATGTTTAAGGAATGCCAATGGACAGAAAAAAATGCACTCTAGTTATGAAACAGGCCTGACACTTTAGTGTTGAGCAGAGGGAAGACACAAATGGGTTATGCATAGTCATAACTAAGAAATGAAAACCAAGAGAGAAATCCTGGCCTCATTTAAGTCAGTATAAAGTTCCTCCTGACTGCAGTGTAGCCAGAATTTCATCCCCAAAATGGCACATATTCTTTTTATATCATACCAGTGGGAGTGTCTGTAGATACAGGTAACATTTTTTGCAATAGGCTTAGTTTTAGAAACTGATTTATTCTCTTGTTTTATTTCCTACTGATGTGATATAAAATGTTTTAATATACCTATAAAATGTAAACAGCAACATGAGATACATATTATGAGATAACTGCACATTGTGGGTTTGGAACAAATACAACCTTTAGGATCTGAAGGGACCCTTGAATTCTGTAGCTGACCTTTATGTATGGGCAGCTTAAAGCCTTATATATTTACTGTGAGGCTTAAAGGGGTTGACTGTGTCCCTTTAAAATAAGATTTATCAGGGGTATATATAGATATATTGTATATATGTTAGAGTAAGAAAAATAACTTATAAACAGAAAATCTACTATATAAAATAATTATATAACCATTGAGTTTCACATGTGGGTCATTAAGTGGTAAGTAACAAACAGCAGAGAAAAAAATAGACGTCTTGAATCCGATTCTTGCTGCCTGCTTTTTCCCATAGGGAGCTGAAAAGTATCTATTAATATTATGGAGTGCGCTGCTGAGTCACATGCGACCACTCTGATGTGTAGCTAAGTGAAATGCCTACCATACATTTAGGAGGAATAAAAATTAAAAACATAATTTAAGTTTTGATGGGGAAATGATTTAAAATATTTTATTAAAAGGGTGTAATGCAAAATATTGACCATGTGGTTGCTATATAATACTGCCTGTGGTTAATATGGACAGGTGGAAGATATAGAGGATGGGAATATACAGCACTTTTGACTTGCAGTTCATCAGTGAGCCTTCCACATACATTGGTATTTGCCATTTTTTAAACCTCTCTGCATATAGATTTTATAAATATATATATATATAAAGAGAGAAAGAAGAGGTTCCATGGATGTCTGTGTCCAAAGAATTCCAAAGAGATGCATTTATTTATCTAGAAGTATTAAAATAAGTTCTATATTATGTATATGTATTTCATCCAGTTTATTTGCCAACGTTTGTGCCTTGAAATGAAATGGGCTTTTGGTTATATTTAATTCACTCCAATGTAGCCATGAATTAGAAGTGATAGTGATTTCAGGGCTGGTTACTAGCTGGATTGCTTTGCTCGAGTTTCCAGAAAGAGAAGAGTACGTGTAAATTCTTGAAGTTTAGACAACTGTATAACTAGGGGCTGACATTTAAAAGGGCTCCCTACTCTACAGCTCCCAGTAAAGAGGCAGTAATCACATCAGCTTTCAAAACCTGTGTCTACCACTCAGAAGTTAGAAAATGTTTCCAATTATTTGGGTACTTAAACATAGTGTAGTAAGGTTAAACTTGTCTTTGCAAAATCTTGGCCTTGGTCTTTTAAGTCTATTTGCAGCCTTCCTTCTTTTTGCAGAAGTTGTAGTGCCATTGCCAGCTGCGTGCAGATTCCTTCTCAAATAGGCCACTGGTTTTCCAGCTGTGCTCCATGAACCACCATTTATCTCCAGAGCCTTTTATAATAGGTGTGTAATTAACATTTGCTAAACAAATAGAGGAGGGATGGCATTCTGGGGAGGGAGGAGGCCTGGGCAGACAGTATTTTCCCCATGAAATAATAATGCAGACTAGAGGAGACTCACAATATCCTGTAGGCTCTTACACATGGCCTTCTGATGCGTGGGCACATGCTGTACATCCTGCCATGTTGTCATGATGCCATCAAAATCAAAAGGCAGCTTCTTGAGAGAATATGGCCTGTGGCATGCATGGAGGCACAGTACTAAGCACAGAGTTAATACAAGTTTTGCCAGAAATAAAAAGAGTGTCATTCCAATGACTTACATCAGCTAATTCACAATGACACCTTCAGTTTTCTTGGACCTCTTTTGTCACAGTGCTCTATGGAACACGTTTTTGTTCACACAAGTCTCTTTTAAATTTCAGCTGTAAACAAACTCAATTCTTTTTATGTCTCTTACTCACTACCTAATAAAGGATAAAGCCTAAATGTTAGAATGTATAGTGCATTTTCTGTGCCTTGCTGTTCCACTCCCATTTGGTCAGTAACAAATCAATGCACCGGGGACGTTAGCACAACAGTTTTATATTATATATATATATGTCAAGGAAAATACTGGCACAGCAATCTGATTGGGCATGGGGAGCTTCCAGTCAAGGGTATATCCACAACACCTGAAAAAAGAGCTGGCAAATGGAAGACACTTTACACTTACCTGTCAATACATCCAATATGGAGAGCACTATAAAAAATAATAGTAATAATAAAATGTGTCATCATATTCACATTCCAGGGCCAGGAGGAAGACTAAAGCACAAGGAAACAGATAATTTCATTGAAGACACAGTCATTCACTGGAACAACAGTGTGAAATCAGCCTGCAGGGAAATGGCTGGGTATGATCTCAGAAAAACAACTAGGTTCAGGGATATTTTCTTAAATTCTGCGCTAAGTGTTAAAGAATGACTCTTCTGTTCTGACCCAAAGAGATGGTACTTTTGTGGGAGGGATATGTATTTATATATTTATGCTATCTGCATTTTTCCAACTATCACTGGCTTTAAACCTTTGTTCTGAAGGTTCATCATTGCTCTGAACCATGAAATCAGTTACCTTCATGCAAGCTGCTGTAAAAGCTGATGTGAGAGGTCAGTAAGCAAATGGTATAAATATGATGATCTAAAATGAACTGGAAGAAAAAAAAATGAACTGGCCATGTCAAGGAATACTGTATTTGAGAAATACACATCTTTATTTTAAAATAAAAATATATATATAATTAAAAATAGCTAAATAAAGTTAATATAACTAGAAAAATTACATTTGTCATTTTAGTAATGGGATATCACAATTGGCACTGTATTTTAAAAGATAAAAGACTCTTTAGCTGTTGACAAGGATAACATGTGTAAACAGCTGTTTAGCTGTTGGCAAGGATACCATGTGTAAATTTAATGTCTCACACTTACTATCTTCTAGTTATGCCAGGAATACCATAACTGAATTAACTTGCCTATAGTCACTTCTACTCCAGGTCTCAAAGATACAGTAGAGTACTGGCCCATTGTTCCCTGGAAGCTGAAGTCCTGTTTCTTAGTAGCCTCTGCTTCTGCCTTCTGCTCTCCCAAAATTCAAAGCTTCTAGATTCTCTTTGAAGTGTCTTGGAGACTTTCTATCTTAATAGCTCTCATTTTTGCAAAAGTGTCATTTCATGAACATAAGACGAACACTGAAGAGCAAGACCTGAAAAAGTTTCTACATGATTACAACTTTCCTATGGGTAAATATAAAACACAGCTACCCACATTGTTTGGATGCATAAATCTCTTTGACAACACGTGAATTTGAAAACCTAAAACACTTTTTATAGGATCTGTGATATTTATTTACATAGATGGCTAAATTGTCACATTTAAAAATGAGTCCAGTACAGTTTAAGCTTCAAAGATCTAAGCACCTAAAGCACACAGAAAACTAATCATGTTAACCTAGATGTCTTTGAAAATGTTAGCCTATGCTATGTAAAATACTTTTTTTTTTTTTTTTTTTTTTTTTTTTTACATCACATCTTCCCCTGTTCTGTTTGTTTATCTGTAAGCACCATTACTTCAGTGCTAGTGGATCACACAAAGGCTTCTGCACTGGGATGCAGTGCATGACTGAAAGAAATAGCAATACTGATAAATCCCATCTTAAACTGGTTGAATTCTCAAACACACAGTTAAAGGTTTAACCAGTGCTGAGGGCTTTATGCCCTCCCACACCTACACGTTTATTAAAATTCAGGACCATTTAGGAGTAAATGTGACTATCTGGAGGATGGTTATTACACAGACTGATCTGAAATGTCAGAGGCTGAGTCTGTGTTCCAGACTGAAATTAAGGATAGTACAAAAACCATAATGCTCTTAACCCTGGGACTCCTGAAAGCAGTTGCAAAGCTTTTTGACTGCAGCAGAGGCAATTTTTTTTCTTCAGTGCCTGAGGCCTTTTGCAGTCATGCTGTGTACTGCATTAGGTGTCATTCAACTCTGATTCAGTATTGATATATTGATAAAGAAACTTGTATGAGCCTGAAACATGACTTAGTGGCTGTCTAGTTTCTGTGATCAGCTTCATGCTGGGCTGGTGGCTAAGTAAAGAGAGTCAAAAGAGTCAATGCAATGAAAATGGTAAAATAATTTGGTTCCTTTTACTTGTGGAATGTGAGGCAATAACAAGCTAGGACACTCGAGAGAGCCTGGATAAAAGAGGCATCTTGAAGGTCATGAGATTATAACTTTGAAAACAACTTGCTGATGAGAAAGATCACAGAAGACTTTCTTTGGTTTAAATAGTTCAGTTGCTTTTTAATAACGGGCTTCACACTATTTACACTGTTAGCACACTGACATTTATCCTGTTCACAACAGAGATTGAATATTTGACACCCATAATGAGAAGAAAGTACATATTAGTATTCATTACATAAATATTGGATACTCATTTACAGGAGACAAGACTTTTTCTGTGAAATCCATGTATTCATGTCTGGTTATACAAGCCAAGATATCACCGCATCTCATCAACACCTTGGTCTTCCAGAGATGATAGCCATATTTTGTTTGCTTTCATTACCAGTTGATTTTTCTTCTATTTTACTTTATTCATATATTCATCTCTCATGGGAATGAACAGAATCCTTACATATTCCCTTAAGAGCTAGTATTCATCAAGCTTACTGATGGATCACTCAATCAGAGTCAATAAACTGAATACAAAATTTAAAGCAGTAGTGCCATAGTAATATATTATGAATAGAGAGGATACACATACTACAGTACTCTTTATCTAAGCTAGTCAGAGTTGTATGACACAGTTCTTTAGTCTTTCAGTTTCCTGAAATTTTCATCTTTTGAGATTCTTCAAAGCTTTGAATAAATGTAATGTTATTTATTATGTTCAGTATAAACAAGTAGGCTATTTCTGAGTACAAATGCAATAGAAAAAAGGATAAAAATTATAAACCATTTTCTCACTACAAATACCTCCAACATTTGTTAACAACTCCAGCCTTTTGGTTGATGGCTGGCATTTGCCATGGGAACAGTTCTCATTGACACATGTATCAGGTGCAAATTGCTTGATACACAGCAGACAAGTGCAGATGTTCTTTTGGGGCACATCAAAGTTGGAGGTGATAGCATGTGGGCAAAAACTATTCTTTTATAGCAACCTGTTATAACACCTTTAAAACTGCTTGGTGGCTTGATGGAGAGAGGCAGCATCCACCCAGCAACCTTGCAGGTTGCATTCTGCTACTTCCTGACACGTTCTGATGTGGTCATTTTCATTTATTTATATTACCAATTAAAAAAAAATAAAATAAAAAATCCAGATTTGAGGAATTCACTTGCATTCCAGTGTAAGTGGTTTAGTTTGAAGGACAATCCTTTCCACTCCCCCTGCTCCCACAGTGTAAATTTTTAGTTTCAAACCTATTTTCAATCTTATCCTTTCCATGACAGTGCCAGTCAAACCATTGGCTGTATCTGTTTTGTTCATCAGAGTAAAACCATGAATATAAGTTTTGGAGCACCTGAGAAGAAAAGACTAAAACAAATCAAAAAAAAAAAAAAAAGTAATTAAAAATGGCTCGCTTTTTAATTATTGCAGTTGCCTAAGTCCTATCAGCTTGCTGAAATTTAGGTTTTTGTCCAAGAGAGAAGGTTTATTTCTTTCTAATACTGGTTTTTGTAGTTTTGGAAAGGAGATGGAAACAGCTATCACTCCTTTTCCACTTTTTCAAACACTAAAATCTCCACATAGGCAATCAGACAAATATCTTTGCACTTGCTTCCTTCTTTGTATGTACACTGTATTTATTTCTCTCTCATCCCTCTCCTATATCACCCCCCAGCAGGATGAAACACTACAAGGAGTATTAATAAATAAATAAAAAAACACCACCTATGTGTGTATAATACAGGTATATAATATCATAGACCTTTATTATTTCAGTGGTATAATTTAACCAAGCACATGGCTGAGTTTTTATGCTGCCAAGTCCTGCACTCAGCTCCTTGCTTTAAATGGTGGTCACTGAAACCAATCTTGTTGGCTGTGCTGCAGTTAAGCCTTCTCCCTATCTCTGTGAGATTCTCTGTTCTCCTCTGGGATATATTGCATGGCAAGTGAAGCCTTGGAAGAAAAGCTGGAACTATTTTCATCTCCTTTGCCAAGCTATGAAAAGCAGTAGGAAAAACAGAGACTGGCCTTTCGTATGTTATTGATATCTGCATTCCAGCTAACTGTCAGGAACTTCACAGCTGCAGTAAATATTTTAGAAGCTTTTCTGTTCTGCTTCTTAAGACAGGATGCAGTGGATCACTATTCCATACAACAGACATTTAATCCAGAGTAGTGTGCAAATCATCTACACTATGCTACCAACATACTTAAAACCTAAACTTCAGTTAAGAAAGCCTTGAAGCCTCAAAACCTACCAGGGCCATCTGAAAGTACTGCTGATGAAGAACACATGTTACACAATGTGGTGCAAACGAACCGGTAGGTGGACATCCAGGTGAGTCCAACAGTTGCATTGCATTAGTTCAAGAAAAGGTAATGATTCCTGGCAATTCAATGTGGGGAATTTCCTTCTGAACCATGTGGGAATGATTCCAACTCCAGTGAGTGCATTGTAGAAATTGGGAAATTGAGAAGTTTGTCAGCATCATTGAACCTTATGTCCCTAGCCAACATTGCAGTAGAAGACCTCAAACCTGAAGCCAAGTTATTCACCAGGACAGCAAAAAAAAAATAAAAATCTTCCTAGGCCTTACAGTTAATCAGCACAAGTCCTTCATTAAGTGATAGAATGGATATTTAAATTAATGGGTACTAAGAGTACTGCAGGCATCACCAAAAATTGACCCTGATCCAATCACACTTCAAAAACATTGTAAATTTCAATGATGTTTTTATAAGTTTATAGTAGTAATTTGGACTGATAAATAGTCAATATTATGTCTCTAATTAAAAAAGGGTGGAGTAAAGTGACTGGGGCAATTATATTTTGCTATTTAACCCCCTGATACTCCAATGAATTCTGTGTAAAGGTCAAAGTTATCAATCATGTGGAAAAGGAAGTAGGCTAGGAAACAACTGTATTTTCTCAGAGGTAGGTTGGGTGAAACAAAATTATCAGTATTAGGGTAAGCCCCTTTATTAGTTAAGTTCTTTATTGTTTATTAATTACTGCAGGTTAAATTAAGTATTTGAGATAGTGCTTTGTAATAAATAAATGGGTACTATGAAGATTCAGACAACAATTTTAGAAGACTGACTGAAGCAAAAGCTTTGTGGACTGTAGAATAAAGAAGTGTTATTAGGGGGAGGAGGGAGGGCAGAAGGCTGTTCCCCAGGTGCAATTTTAGTTGGTGCCTGGTTTCACAGGTTTATACAGAGGGAAAAGTGTGTGCTCTTGAAATTTTATGATAATGCACATTAGGGACTATCATCAATATAGAGAAGAATGTGATCTTTTCCAGAAAGAATAGAATGACCCTGAGATCTGGTATAACAGAAAGGAGATGAAATGCAGTAAGAAAGAGAGGAACAAATGTATATTTAGAAACTAATAACAACTAGTTCTAAGAATTCAGTAGGTAAAACAGAAAAAAATAGAACAACCGTGGTGTATTGTCACTTATGGCAATGAGCTACAAATTTGATTCAGTTGTTTTTAAAAATGCAAATACCTCAACTGAGGTATTTTCAAAATTTGCACTATGCCACCATGGAATACAGACATATTTTGATAACTTCAGTTAGTCATAATCAAGAGCAATTAAGTCTTTTTAGAAAAGAGTTGAGGGAAAGCAGAGAACCTGATAGATATGAAAAAAAAAATATATATAATAAGATTTATATGGTTAGAATAAGGAAAGGAAGGCTGAGACAGAAAGGGAATCAATTGATCCCTATGCATCCTGGGGTGAAGATGGTGATACCCATCAGGAAGAGAAGAAAGCTATTCAAGGTAAGAAGTTGTTCAAGTATAAACATATGAATAATGGCATATAAACTTGCCAGTGAATATCGGTTGGAAATTAGAAAATGTTTGTAAATGTTAAAACACAGAAGAAGTCAAAAAATTCTCAACTGGCAAAAATTTAGATGCTCCTCAGATGGACACTGTCCAATTTATGGATGGAGTTGTGGGCTGCATTTTCTGACAACACAATATTCTCTCCATATGTATACTTAGCATCCCTCCAAATGGTATCAGTGAATACTTCATGATTTGATGAGTCAGGGAGGGAAATATGAGAGGGGCTTGCATTGAACAGGGAAAAGACTTCTGAATCTCACCCAGGGCCTATTTCACCAATCTATTCTCAGTCACTTTAAAATAACAAAAAAACTAACGATATTCAGGTGGAAAATTAAGTGTTCCAAATTTGATTCTAGGTAGATGCACATGGCAGTGGCTTTTTAGACATCGTATGTCAGCTGGAAGAGTCTGTCTTATTCTTGCTGAAATAAGATTCAGTATAGTTTTCCTAGACAATCTAATGTCAAAATATATCGATCATGCTCAATTGTTAAGCATAGCTCATGGTTTTAAAAATGCAGACAGATGAGAGAAAATATTTAACAGTGCTGAAAGGAAAAAAAAAAAAAAGTTCTCTAGTTCACTGAATTTATGAACACAAGCAGAGTTCAGCAACCACGCTTTAACACAGCTAAGCCTCTTCAGTGTTGCTTCTTTTGTCTTGGGTGAGGACCCTCTCATTTCAGACTCCTCAATGAGTTTGCTGAATCCTGTGGATTGTGTTCTTCAGTGTATGAGTTCCTATAAGTTGTATGATGGTACCAAGTGGTTTAGGACACAATCAGATAAACTGTGGAGTTCCCAAAGATAAGCAATAAAATATTGCAGTTTCATGTTACATGAAGTTACTGGTTACATGATATCTGAGTCTTAGCACTTAGCATTCAATTCAGGCTTTAGGTAATAATTAAGTAAATTGCCACTTGACATCTGCATGTCTTTATTCTTAAAATGTTTATCACTCCAAAAGTCACGTATTTATCCTATTCAGACTGTATATAGACTTCATGCTTTGGCACATTACGGCTACTCTTCTACTTTACATTCAGTCCAATATTTTGCTATCAACCAAAAGTGGGTGTGTGGGGGGAACAAAGGAATTTTTAAAAAAATAAGAAAAATAAAATCCCAAACCAGAGTTAAAGCTCAGCAGGAAGGTTCAGTACATTATTAGCTGATTTGGAATAGTTTTTCATACAAAGCATGTTCCAAAACATTTTACAGAATTAAAAGCTTTGTGTGACTACAGCACAAAAACATAATCCAAAATGTTTTGGCTAAAAAAAGAAGCCTTCTGTTTTCCTTATAACTGAGGCCAAAGTAATTTTAATTTCTGGCTTCTTAATTAATGTTAAATACAGTTTTGACTGAGTTTCTCATCAAACAAATATTGCAACATTTGTAGATTTGCAGTTATTTCGTTCATTGTCTTATCTTTAATTTGAGTATCCTGAGTATGAGGGAGCAGTTAAATTTAAAAGTCTTCATAGATTATGCCATCTGTTAATGGAAATCTGTATTTCAGAGCTATGCAGGGTATAGTTGATAATTCTGTCATTTTGCTATAGCTTGGCCTCTTCTTACTCTATTTATTTGTGCTGTATTCATGCCTAAAGGTTCTAACTGTGATCATAAAGTAAGAATTTAATTTTATGATAAAATAGAGAAGTCTTGAAAGTTGCTTTCATTACACCCCAGCATAGACTGAAAAGCTTTTGCAATTTTTCATGAGAGAAGAAAGAGGTTGGCGGTCTGATACATGGGACTCAAGTTCATCTAATTTTTTTGTCTGGAAACCTGATCTTGTGTTAGGACCTAGGTAAGACTCCAAGGCACTAAAGTAGTTCCCCCCACCCCTTGCTTTGTTATATGTTATTCTTTGTATCACTAAGCACTTTTTATGTTAGGTCAGTAGGTGCTTTAACTCCTTTATCCATGGTACTGTAAATATCAACACCTCAGCCAGTGACCTCACACTAAATGTAGATTTTGGGACTTGATGTAGCTGGCCTCTTTTAGAAGTCTACAGAAGGACTTCTAGAAGTGCTTATCCTCTCCACAGACTGGAAAGGAAGCACTGGATGTCAGGTGAGAGGTAGTTACCTGTCCTATTTATGTTTACAATTGAAGAAATTTTAAGAAAACACGAGATGTCAGAAACAGATCCAGTCTAAGCAAGTGACTTGATAGTTCAGGATGTTGGACAGCCATGGTGAAGTCCAGCACACTTATGAAACCAAGTCTTCTGTATGTAAAAGGAGCGTAAGAAATCCTTGTTACTAATTTTGATTTTAGTCTTAAAGTGTAATTTATCTTTTGTTACAGTGAAGGTTTTACTACTGGGAGCCAAGATTGGCAGGAGGGCCAGCTGGGCAGGGTCCTTACCAAGAAAGAATTTGATCCTACAGTGTGGTTGGCAGAGATGTTCTGGTGACAGTAACCATCTAAGGTGACAGTCTAGACATTTCCAACCGAGTCTGCAGTGATGAAGCAGGAATGAGGCCAGGGTCAGCAAGACAGACTCAGGATGAGCACAGTGCAGTGCCAGGTACAAGCAGACCTACAGCATAGACTGGGCATCCTCCAAGGGAAGAGTTTAAATGTAGCTCCCAAGACAAGAAACAGAGGCCCCAGACAAAAGCATCTCGCAGCTCCTTCTTTCACCTTAGCTGTTCCCTGGCCAGTTACATAGCTGTGCTGTGTCAGAACTGCCACAAAGTTCAGGCAGCCAGTCCCCTGGGAAGGGAAGGAGGAGGCGACAGAACTTATGAGCATGCAGAGGTTACTTGTAATGTCACCATCCCTTTGTAAAGGGTAAAAAAGAAAGTAGAGGAAACGTAGGCACTGAGTTTTACATATGATCATGAAGATGGATGGAGCAGAAGTGATTGAGCCCTACTCCTCTTGAACAAGCATCTCAGTGAAATATCAGCATTCACAACATGGGATCATGGTGCTAAATCAAAGCTGAATTCTACAGCAAATGCAGATGTTCACTGGGGACAGGAGAAATATATCTTAAGAGTAAATACTATCTGGCTATAAAAGTTTTCTTAGTACTATGTTTTGCTTACTTCCAATACCATTCAATCCACCTGAGGAAATCTAGTTCACACAATTAGTTAGCCTCTTCAGAAGTTCCTGATTTATCTTCACTGCACAGCAATACTCATCAGATGAAAATCTAAAGGTTTCATTTTATAAGGGGGTGAATGGAGATGAGGGAAGGGATTCTTTTACAAATGCTGAGGATGTTTGATTTTAAAGTTCAGAGCCAGCTCCTTAGCTGGTCTAAATCAGGATAGTTTCATTGTTTATCTAGGTCTGTAACAATCGGTGTCTGAGATCTGTCATGTAGTTTGGAACACAAGTGTTATTGTCAAACCATAAACAGGGAGATGATCCCTTTTAAAATGGTTATATTACTGTAAATATCTGCTGTCTTACCAGAGAGACCACAGCTGTGAAAATATTCCATGAGAACTGCTCTTTCCACTTGTTCTCTTCTTTAATATCGAGCTACTACAGATGAAATAGTTCAGTCATTGAGAGAAAAAACAAATAAATTTCAAAAAATACAACACTTTATTTCCCAAACAATGTAGCTGTTAATAATCTCATGTTTTTCTGACAAACTATAAATAGTTTATCACTATTTTATAGAATCAGTATGTATTTCATGTTTTTTCTGAGTATTTCATGTTTTTACTGAGGTATGGTAGATGGAAGCTTCCCCATCCAGAGCCTCCTGGACATTTACAGCCTAAATATTTTCACAAGACTGAAGTCCAAACTTGTGTGTCCCATGACTGCTGTGCAAGAAACTGTTCTGGTAGCATAAACGTCTTTTTGTTGCTATCAAAGAGCTGAAGTGCTCTCTGTGTGCTCTTGCCTTCACCTTCTGTTACTTTACATATTAAAAAAAAAAAAAAAGTTGTGGAAGAAAAAGGAAGGGTATGTTATTGTTTTACAAAACTAATATAACTCAGTGGAAAAATTAGTGGAGACAGAGCAGAAATTGGAGAAATAGGCTTCTTTCAAAAGTTCTCTTTGCAGCCTGGGGAAAGCAGCTGGGAGTTTGTTTTGTATGTTGACCATTCCTGATGCTGGGCAATTGTTCAGGCAAGGCATCTGCTACTAAGTGTGTATTCCGAGGAAGTGCTGTGTTTGGTATTAGGCAAATAAGACCTTGTCTAAGATCCTATCTAGTGACCGAGCTATCATGAAACTGCTGAGTAACCACTAGTTACTGGGCTTAAGTAATACTGACTAGCAGGCTCAGCCCAGTATAAATGGTAGTATTGCCCAAATACTATTTCCATAAAATTACATGAGAAGAAAGTATAATTGTAAAATGTAAAGAAAGATTCATAATCAAATATTCCCCTTTCCACTGAAGAAATTATCTGAGTCTCTGACTGCTACTAAAACTCCCAACCAGTTTAGTATGCCAGTTTTCCCTGACTTGCTCTATCCACTTTCAAAATTAGAGAGGTAAATATATCCTAAATATCTCCCTATATATACATATCTATGTTGATGACACTACTTGGGATGAATTTCTTTGCTGGTGTTGTCCTTGGTCTGGGGAAAGATGTAAGTCAGTCAGGCGAAAAATTTATTTACAGGATATACTATGTGTAATTAAGAGCCTGCATAGAGAGAATTGGCTGAAAATGCAGTATTTGTTCCCAGAAATAAAATATCACCTGGTTCCTGGATACTTACTGGTTCCCAAGCCAGACACTAAACTCTAAAATTTAGACGCTATGTATTAACACCCATGTGGTAGATGTGTGGCCTGGGATGAAGGCCAATTCCCCGTGCAAAATACTTTTCTCCTCGTCCAATTGACAGGTGCATCAGTAGTTCATCATGTTGCAGAGCAGGAAGCATCTTGCTGGAAGCATGGTGAGTGTTAGGAGGTGCCTTGGATGCTGGTTTATAAAGCCTATGAATGCAGCTTCTACCTGCTTTGAGTCAGGCATTTTATACTATATTAAGACTACATTCTTTCAAACTGGCATTTTGAAATCTGGAAAAGCATTAGGCACAGACTACCATTAGGATTAGGTGTCAACACCCTTGTTACCAGGCATGATGCTTTACAGGAGGGAAATGCAGGCACTTGTATGATTCAAGCGATTCTTGAACTAGAGAGGATTTTTCTGGATTAAAGTGTTCAGTTAAGGGTTGCCAAAATTCTGCTCAAACCTCATGACAAATATTTAGCTCCTTTTTTTTTGTATCCCACTGTTGTGTCCTTTAGCTGCTAAGATCTCCGGAGACTTGGACAGTGGTAGACACAGTGCTCTTCATGAACTATTAAAGAGGAAGGGGGGGAGGTGGTGACCATAGTGTAAGAGATCACAAATCTCCTTCCCATGGGGGTTCATAAATGAGCCTAGAGGGGCTGGCATGCATGAATTCATCTCTGCCACTGTAAGTGTGTGCAGGGGCAGGGGGAAGACTAGAGAATTCTTGCTTTAATCCCAGTTGGCTCACAAATCACTTTAATTCAACTAATAAAACCGTTAACAACATGCAGATTTCAAACAAAGATAAACAAGACAGCAAATGATTTAATACAGAAACAAACTCAAGGAAATGTATGTGTAGTAGCCAAGGAAAGTTAGCCTTGCTATTTCCCCATTTATTCAAGAGAATGTGTTTCTGCCCAGTGCTGATCTGTGTTAACCACATCAGATATTGGTGGCAGTCTCCCTGGAAATAATACATTTCCTTAGTTTCCTTTCCTTGTGATTTATTTTTTGCTGTTCATTCCATGTTCCCCAGTTTAACTGCATTGTGGGAAACTTGCCTAGTTCCACTTGTTTGTGCAAAACAGAGTGGTTCCGTTGCTTAAAAACAGATCTGTGCTATCTTGTTTAGATTAGGGAAATCCTGTGGAAGAGAAAGGTGCTTGAATTTTTGGTCAGGTATTTGGTCTGTAGAACAGTCATGTTTTCCTTCTTTCATAGAGTGATGTGTCATTGGTAAGTTTTAAGGGTGCTTTTGAGATTAAGGGGCAGTAACTAATTACCTAGACAGATCAGAGCATGCTATGGCCTTCATGGTTATAGTTACAGGCACATCAGTCTAATGCAGTTCTTTTCACAGCAGACTTATGAGGCAGCACAACTGCTGCTCTTCTGGATTCAAGAATGGGAACAGCTCCAAACTGGGACTTCTAGCAGAACATAATTATAATTTATTTCCCCATAAGTATAATCATTGCAGTCTCAAATCCCTCTAAAGATGCCAAAGGCCTATGTATGCTCCATCTTCTGGTATTCAATCGTCAAATTGTAGAATAATTTAGGTTGGACCACTGGAGGTCATCAAGTCCAAACTCAGAGCAGGGCTATCTTCCAAGTTTGGTCAGGTTGTTCAGGGTTTGTTCAACTGTGTTTAAAAAACAAATAAACAAACAAAAAAAACTCCAAAGTTGGAAAGTCCACAGCATCTCTAGGTAGCATGGTTCAGAGCTTAACCATTGTAAGATTTATTTATTTTTTTTTTAACCTTATGTCTGTTTGAAATCTCCAACTACAAGAAGCTATGGCTTTTGCATTTGGTTTTGCTGAACTTCATGATGTAACTTACAATCTATTTCTCCCATCTATGAAAGTCCTTTGGAGAGACTACTTTACCCTCCAGCATATTACTCATCACCTCTTCTTTCAGCTTGCAAACTTCATGAAATTACTTTAAGTGCAATTAACCCAGTCACCAATGAAGCTGGTAACCTGTATTTGTCTCAGAATCAGCTTCTTAGGAATACAACTTCTAACAGGCTGTTGATGAGATTTTTGAAACCTTGACTTAGGACATGGCACCACACCCAACTTTTAACCTTGTAGTCCACCTATCCAAACTATATATGTCCAGTTTGAGTAAAACATCTTATTTAAAAGTGTGTATAAAGCCTCCTTAAATCACAGTAAATTAGCTTACCTTGTTCAGAGGCAGTCATTTAATGATGAAAGTTATCCAGGTTGATCAAGTAAAATTTGTCCCAATTTGTTCACTGTCACCTTATTCTTGGGGCTAGGAAGTAGCTTCCATAAGGTTCATTCCATAATTTTGTTTGGGGGTTTAGATGAGGTGGTCTGTGGTATGTAATTTATTTGAGACTTCTTTTTTTCTTTCTGTGAAGATGGATGTAACACTCAATTTTGTTTTTCTGATATCAGCCAGGTACCTCACATGCATCCTGTCCTATGGATTGCATGGGCCCAATTTACTTAACTTGTCCCTAGTTCTGTCGTTTTCCTCTGTCAGTGAAGCACCTCTCTCTGAACAAACTACTACTAGGGTAGGAGATCTGCAAGGCCTGAAGGTAGATCTTACAAAGCTGTCATAGATTGATGTGAAGTTTCTTTATTTCCTTTGTTACTGGATTTACCTGTTTCTTTCACCAATGGACCAATATATTCCCTGGTCTTTTATTCTTTTTCTGATATAACTGTAAAAAACGTATATGTTGCCCTTTACATCTTGTGATGATTTTACTCAGCTGGGCAGCTGAGCTCCACCACAACTGCTCTCTCATTCCCCCTCCTCAAAGGGAAAGGGGGAGAAAGCATTATGAAAAGGGTTCAAGGGTTGAGATAAGGAAAGGGGGATCACTCGACAATTATCATCACAGGCAAAACAGACTCAGCATAGGGAGATTAATAAAATTTACTACCTATTACTAACAGGCTAGAGCAGTAAGAAACAAAACCAACCGAACAAACAAACTAAAAACACGTTTTCCCCCATCCATCCTCATCTACCTTCTCTCCCCAAATGGCACAGAGGAACAGGGAAGGGGGGCTGTGGTCAGTCCATAATGCTTTGTCTCCACCACTCCTTCACAGTCACTCTCTGCCCCAGCTCCACGTGGGGTTCCTCCCACAGGATGCCGTCCTTCCTGAACTGAGCCTGCAGGGCCACGGGAAGCAGCTCTTCAAGAACTGCTTCAACATGCGTCTGTACCACGGGGTTCATCCCCCAGGAGCAAACTGCTCTAGCACAGGTACCCCATGGGTGGGTGGCAGCTTCCCCCAAATCCCCTGCTCCTGCGTGGGCTCCTCTCCGTGGGCTGCAGATCCAGCCCAGGGGTAGCTTCTGCAGGGGCTCCCCATGGGCTGCGGCCTCCTCCAGGCCACATCCACCTGCTCCTCCATGGGCTGCAGCGTGGAGATCTGCTCCATGTGGGACCCATGGGCTGCAGGGGGACAACCTGCTCCACCAGGGGCCTCTCCACAGGCCACAGGGGATCTGCTGCTGCGAGCACCTCCTGCCCTCCTGCTGCACTGACCTTGGGGGCTGCAGGGTTGCTTCTCACTCCTTGCTCTCCCAGCAGTTCTTGCACAGCACTTTTTTTTTTTTTTTTTTTTTTTTAATACATTCTCACAGAGGCATGAACATCGCTTCTTGGCAGAAGCAGGTCCCTCTTGGCAATAGCTGAATGGCTGGAGCTGGTTCTGATCTGACATGGGGAAGTTTCTAGACTTTTTTCACACAGGCCGCACCTGCAGCCCTCCATTACCAAAACCTTGTCACATAAACTGAATACACATCTCTGCCATTTCAACTCCACCTTTGGCCTTCCCAATTTCACTGTTTCACTCCCTCATGCTTGGTCAATAGTTTTGTAATCTAGGGAGGTGCAGCTCCTTCACAGATATGCTATTTTATTCTTTTTGTAGATCCTTAGCTGCTGAATATCAGGTACTGTACATCATGCAGATAGATGGTGGAATTCTGTTTTCAGACTCAGGAAATCACTGACTAGTATCTCCTCGCAAGCGGAGATAGCGCTTCCATGTGTCCTTTTTATTTCTGGCTTAGAAACTTTGGCTTGATTTTGTTCTGACACACACAAGACCCTCCCCACCTACCTCATCCCCTCACTCCCTCTCACCTCCCCATTTTACTTTCTTGAAAATAAACTGTGTCAGAAAAATGTAGAGACTCTAATGAACTAATTTGGAAATACATCTATGTCAGCATATAAAGATTTTTTTCTGTGACAGAATGCACACAAGTGAATCAGAAGTTACTCATTGAGGCAGAATATGATTTGTCTAACTGGTAGCATCTATTTAGGAAAAGCTGCCACCATTTAATTGTGAGATTTTATTAGTATGTAAAATGACTGCTTTTAAATGTTTAGTCTGGAGTTAATTTCACAGTGAGTGCTGGAAGGTGCTTCACATATGACTGCATGTCACAACCATGCTATGAAATAAATGTACGCAATGGTGAGCAGCAAGAATCTGAGACTACAGTTAGTATGTCACTAATGTGGCCATTAAGTTTTCATGTTAAGATTTATTATGCTGTCATTATAGCACTTTTCTTTTTGATGTATCAAACCACTACTACAGTGCATATTTGTTGACATCTCATCTGTTTTAGGAAGGCAAATGATTACAAGTTACCAAGGAAACTAATAAGCAGTATGCAAGGAATGGGCTGCACAATTCGTTTTGTTAGATAGCAAGTCACTGCTGTTTTAATTTCAATTAAATTACACCTACTTCTCACGTCGATAACATAAAAACAAACCATGTACCATTTCAAGAAGAATTCAGATAGCTATATTCATTTAGTAAATGGAAACTAACATTGTTTTGTAGCCTGTGCAGTCAGAGGGTTGTAATTTCTTGATGGTTTTGTGTGCTTTACATATGAAGTGCTGTATTTTATGAGTTTGTAGAAAACCTTCTGTTTCACTGTGTAAGTCCACAAGACTACTCAACCACAGACCTTAGCATCTGAAGGAGTTTTAAAAACTGGATAAATTAAATTTGTTTTCAAACTGCAAGCCTGCCATTTGATACAAAAACTCTTATTAGGAAATAAGAGCTCCATGGAAAGAGAAGTTTTAGGTAAAGCAAATCAGGGGGGGTTGAAACTAATTTAAGCTAGAGGTTTGGATAAAACATGTCACCCTTCCCTAATTACTGAGTTGGTTACACTGATGATCTACACAAAGTGGTGAGTGAAAATCAAATTTTTTGGAAGCAAGAGGAGATCTTCAGGGGTTTGAGTTTTTTAGAGCTCTAATATCTGTTTTTGAGAATTGTTGGTGAAAAATTAGGCATCATCTGTCACTATGAAGAGCATCAGGGTGGTGAACTTTGGACAAAGGGCTATTAATTTTTAAAGCAATGTTGAAAAATCTTTATTATTATTCTTTGCTCTATTCTGAGCCTGTTGTCTTCTGGATGTTTTGCTTTGAGTTGTACCACTTCCCCCACCTTTACTGTAAGCTTCCACTTTCTGTAAGTCTAAAACATCTGCAAGGCAGCTGGAGAATACAGCAAATGCTGCTGCTACTCACGCACACTGAGGATGATCAGCAGACATGGCAGGCTAGGAGGGCATGCTTTGAGTCCCTGGGGAGACAGGGAGCCAAGCAGGACATGCCTACAGCTGACAGCATGGAGAATAGGGGAAAAGGACAGGGATTTGAAGAGAGAATATTGTGGAGCATTGCTACCATGATGATTTCTGTGGTGGAAGTTTTTTCTCACTTGTTGGGTTTACTCCCAGTAACAGTCGGACTGCTTTCACTATACCGTTTGCTCATTGCAGTTTATGCAGAACAGACACATGTGTGCTATAACTAAGACCAGACCATTCCACATTATTTTCCTTGTGTATGCCATAAAAGGCCTATTCTTAACTATTCTTATCAGTAAGGCCAAAACGAATGCAAAGTATGAGTGTTATTTGATACCAATAAGCTTCCAAAATGCTGTGTTAACTAGATAGCATATCTAGTGCAGGCCAGGCAAGATGGTTTAAGATTCCTTTTTGCTTTAGAATCTCTGGAGATGTGAGGGGATCTGCTGTAAGCCTTTCTTAGCTTCTTTCTATTTTTGGGCAACATTTCTCCAAAACAATTTTTGGCAGCAGGATTGGGGAATGGGTTGACCAGTTTTATAATGAAGACTAATAACTGCCTGTGGCAAAATTAGATTGACAAGCTCTATAAACTGTTGGTGGAAGCTATGAGTTATCCAGTTCTTATCAGCAACTATTGCATGTTTTTTTTGTGTAATAATTGCTGATAGAAATACACCGTGGTAATTCAGACTACTGTTTTCAGTTAATATTTTTTTTTCCCTATCTTTCTGGTTGTCTTCTTAAATTAACTCCTGGTGATCATACTGCAAGCAGCACAATAACAAATGCACACACAAGTGCATCCCATGGTTGTGTGTCCAGGCAAATAATCAAAAAACATAGCTCAATAAACCAAAGCAGTAATTGAAACAGAGTAACACTGAAATGTTACCTTTGGAATATGAATGTTTGGGGTGAAATATGTGTGTATATATATATATATATATATACATACACATGAGAATATGAAAATCTGCTATGATACAGCAAGTCTCATGTGCTAGAATGGGTGTGGCAATGTGCATGACTATCAGTGGATACCTGGATAAGCAGTGACTAAAGCAGATAAGAACAGATAAGTGGAAAAGGTGGGAATGGCATGCAGAAAACTGTACTGATGCAATTCTTTCATGATTTTCTGAACTTCAGTTCTACCTGGCCAAGTCATGTGATTTAAATAATGCTATAAGTTATCCTGTCTAGAGTCCTCTTCTGCAAGTTTGTCCTGAACACGTGTCTTGCACCAGTCCTCAAAGCTGCATGGGAAATAGCAGAGGAGAAAGCATCATGGGTACTATTTCTAGCATACTTCCCCCAGGAGTTGTAAATGTGCTAAAAATTGGTTGCAGAGAAAAATGAGGAAATCCCTTTTTCAAGTGGGTATCCAATACAACAATAATTATTTTACAGGTGTATACAGAATACAACCATATATACAGAATACAACCATATACAACCATGAAACCTTTATTTCACTGTACCACGTTTGTGAAGGTTGAAAATGTAAATATGTGCTGAATTGTTCATCAAATATTTCACGTTTGGATTACAAGATTACAACCACATAGATCAGTTTGGTGTGTTAGTTAGTATAGTGTACAGATGGACTAGTAATGTAGTCCTGAGCTGAAGAAAAGAATGAGACAGCTAACTTTGAGTTAGCAAAACCAAAGGAGATAAGGGATGAAATGATTAATGAGGAAAGCAGCTGAAAAAAGATTTAAGACTGACCCATGCTAACCTT